TCCAGGACCTAGCGGTACGTTATAGCAGAAGGTGAATGAGCACGATGCCAGCCCTCTGCGAAATAGGGGAGTGGTCATCCTGGAAGGACCAGGTGGCCACATACAGGTTGTGGAGGAGGGGGAAGACTCGATTGATGTGAGGATCGAACAACCCGAAGACCTGAAAGGTTCGGGCCTCTCCACACAAAAAGTTCCTCTGCCGAAGAAATCCACGAGTAGAATCAAGCCCATCTTCGTCGCAGCAGCTGAAAAGCACGATGAAGGGAGGAAAAAATGCGACTCGTAGATATGACCCAGGGGATGAGACCAGGTGGTGGTTGCGGGTAGACATAGGTGACTTTAAAATTAGAGCACTCTATGATACTGGCGCCTCATCCAAGGTCATGGGTCAATTAGGGCTGAGATTGGCATCGGAGATGGGACTCGGATTGAATGTGACCAGAGCGGGCGATGCAAGGCTCGCTGATGGGCCCCCATGCTCTAGAATTGGTGACGTGATATTCCCCTTTAAAGTAGGAGGAATCACGAAGGAAATCGGAGTCGCCATTACGCCACTGCTGACGGATGACTGCTACGTAGGTGCGAACTTTATATGAGAGTTCCGCGCAGTTTTAGATCCCGATGAGGATGAATTATGGCTAAATGACGCCCAGGTTAAAGTACCAATGGAAGTGGATCGAATTGATGGTACGGCATTTCTCGCACCGGTAGGACTGTGGAAAGCCACGGAGACACAGCTTGAAGGAATTGAAGACCTCATTAGAAGATTGATTCCTGACGGAGGTCAGGCTTTAGGCTATGCCGTGGGGATTGAGCACGAAATAGATGTTGGAGGTGCTCGACCCATCAAATAGAAATACTACCCACTTTCTGATAGAGTGCGTGAGGAAATGCACGTGCTGGTCAAAGATATGCTGGAAAAAGATGTAATCGAACCAGCAACCAGCGGATAGTCAAGTCCAATTGTAATGGTGAAGAAGGCTGATGGAAAATATAGGTTTTGCGTGAATTACCAAAAGGTAAATGCTATTACCAAACCTGATGCCTACCCTTTACCATATATGAACGACATCCTAAGACGGATAAGGGATGCAAAGTTCATATCTACGCTGGACTTAAGCAGATTCCCCTAATGGAAGAATCGCGTCCGATATCAACGTTTACAGTACCTGGATTAGGGCAATTTCAATTTAAGAGAATGCCCTTCAGACTGCCATACGCAGGAGCGACCATCCAGAGGTTGATGGACAAGGTGATAGGCCCGGAAATGGATCCATTCGCTTTTGCTTACCTCGATGATGTAATTGTGGTTTCGTCGTCCTTTGAGCAGCATAATCGGCACTTAGAAATGGTATTAAAGAGAATTCTCGGTGCGGGCCTAACCATCAACAAAGCCAAAAGCCACTTCTGCAAGACGGAAGTCAGGTACTTGGGAGTTCTTGTGAACCAGGACGGAGTAAGACAAGATCCCGGGAAGATACGACCGATATTGGAATATCCAACATCCCGGACTGTCATACAGGAGAAGCGATTCATGGGAATGACCTTGTGGTATAGACGTTTTTATCCGATTTTGCCATGATCACTGAACTTATAAACCGCCTGACAAAGAAGAATGTACGTTTCTCTTGGGAGGAGGAGCAAGAGTGGACTTTCACGAGGTTGCAGGAGGCGATGACTTCCGCCCCAATACTGCAATCGCCCGATCCTAATGGTTAGTTTATACTGCATACTGATGCCAGTGACAGTGGAATCGGGGCAGTCCTCACGCAGGATGTCGATGGAGAGGAGCATATAATAGAATACGCCAGCCGATCTCTCAACTGCGCTGAGAGGAAGTATACGATCTCCGAGAAATAATACTTGGCAGTGGTATGGACTATTGGAAAGTTCCGGCCGTACATTGAAGGGCATCACATCAGGGTCATCACTGATCATAGTTGCTTGAAATGGCTCCACAATATGAGAAATCCCAAGGGAAGACTAGCGCGATGGGCGCTAGCTTTGCAAGGCAATGTCTTCGATATTGAATATCGAAGGGGGGATCTCAATGTGGTGCCTGATGCATTGTCTAGAGCCTATAAGGAGAAGGGGATTGAAGTGAGTGCCATAAATATTCGGCCGGAGACCACTGACGCCTGGTATTTGCAGCAATACAAGGAAGTATGTCAAGACCCACACTCTCACCCCACTTGGAAGGTAATGGGAGGGAGGCTGTATCACTATCAGCCTGATGAGGACGATGAAGGGTTTATCGACAACGACGAAGTGTGGAAGCTTGCGGTGCCTAGGGAGAAAAGGCACCAGGTGCTCCAGGAGGTCCATGATGTTCCTACGGCTGGACATCAAGGACGAGAGCGTACGTTCTCCAGGGCTAGGCGCTTGTACTACTGGCCTAAGATGTATGATCAGGTCAGAGAGTACGTAAAGAGTTGCCCGGTATGTCAGCAGTGTAAGGTGAAACAAAGAGCACCTTGCGGGCTAATGTGTCGTAGACAAGTGTCACGACCCTGGCAGGTGGTGGCCGGTGATATATCACTCGTCCGTTTCCCAAAAGCTCTCGAGGTTTCGAGTAAGTCCCAGTCTTTGTAGACCTATTTACTCGCTGGGTAGAGTGCGTTGCGATACGCAAAGCCAATAGGAGGACGATCGCGAAAGAATTACACGAGAGGTTTGTCACTAGGTTTGGCGCATCAGAGGTATTCTTGTCGGATAATGAAACCGAATTCAAGAATCAGGAAGTCGATTCATGCCTCCAGCTGAACGGTATCCAGCACGCCTTGACTCCCGTGTATCATATCCAAGCGAATCCCACAGAGCGAGTAAACAGGACTCTAAAAACTATGATCACGTCTTATGTAAGCCGTAATCATAAGAACTGAGACGAACACCTGTCAGAGTTCATCTTCGTGTTGAACTCGACAACTCATAGCGCCACTGGATATAGCCGGTACCACCTTTGACGTTTAGAAGAACCGAAGATTAGCAGTCCCTTGAAAGTTCGGAGGGTCAATCTGTGGTAGATTGGGCTGAACATATGGAGAAGCTCCCTAATTTCTGGGAGAGGGCCAACTTCAAGTCAAAGGAGGAAACTGCGTATCAGGCGGCTTATTATGACCGGAAGAGACGATAACCCGGGTTTAAGGTCGTAGATTGGATTTGGAAGAGGAACAGGATTCTCTCTTCGGTTACCCAAGGCATTTCGCCCAAATTGGCTCCGAAATATGCCGGTTCGTACGTGATTGAAGAGGTTTGTGGTTTCAACACATACAGACTAGGCAATCAGCTGGAGATCCTGCCCGAGCTCTTCCATGCCAAAGACCTTAAGCCGTACTACGGTCCGGGTAATGATGAGGAAAGCGAGGAAGTCATCGACCCTCGCTAGCCGCAAAACGAACAGCCGTCGCAGGCGAACGATTCCGCGAATACGTGCGAAGATCTGGGGAGGGATTTATCAAGCGGATCGAATTAGCAGCCCCCACAGCCGTAGATAATGATCCCGCCGAGACGTCGGATTTACCGGTATCCGCCCCGACCAAAATAGATCGAGGTCGACCTCGAAAAGTCCCAGAGACAGTCACCGATCAAGTATGAGGCAACAACTCTCCTTTAAAGTAATCTAGAGGGAGAGGTACGCCTCAAAAAACCGTGCCCGTCGTGCGAAGGACAGTTGGGCCGATAAACCCGAACGGTAACCGACGAGGGCCAGGACGTTCCCGCAAAGAATCGCGAAGGAATACATAACTCGGTGGGATGCGGCGTTTAATAGGGTTTTTCTTCGCGCAGGGAATTTCATCCGAGATTTTTTATTTTGGATGTTTCAGATGGACCGAAGAATCGTCGTTGAAGAGGAGACCTTCGAGGTGGTCACGTAGATGTTATTGGATCTGCAGCTGGGCCCTGATGCGACGTAGTTGATAGAAGATCTGCGGAGCTTCGCCAGGGTCCAGTTGGAGGGGACCACCCGAAGGGAGCGCCACAACGCTTTGGTGGCGGACGTTCTCCAGGACGCATCGTGGGTCGCCCCAAAGAAGGCTTTCCGGGACGCTTGCATCCAGACGGAGGACCAAGAAGAGGTCAAGCGTCCCAACTCCACCGTGGACCAGGGGGTGCAAACAGTCAAGTCCGGCGTACCCCAGACGTCGGGCAGTACGAGCCAGTGCCCGGGACCCAGTGAATCCTGTGGGGCATCACACTGGGTCTGTAATCACCCCCATATCCCGGAGCAGCCCACTCTCCTCCTCGACTTCAGATATGTACGTCTGGAGATTAATGAGGTGGAGAGTGCCTGGCGGTTCACCTAAGATCTCCAGTCTCAGGTGCAGGATCAAATGACAAATTATTCAAAGTATTGGCAAGTTTAGAATTAACAACAGACCACTTGCCACTATTAATAATACTAAAATCTAAAGTGATTACAAAAGTTAACAGCTATATGAAATTAAATTGGAATAGAAATATTCTTTTTCTATTGATGAAAGTCTTACGTGTAAAATACCTCTCAAATCAGATACTGAAATAGATAACGATATTTAATGTTTCGACCTACTCTTAATTCAAATAAGAGCTTCACTATTGTAAATAATAATAAATAAATTTAAATAAATATCATTTATTTAAATATTTTTCAATAATAATATTTTATACCAAAGTGTTGGAGGTCGACCCGTATTGCGAATATATGGTCTACATACCAAATTTGGCCTGGAATCCACCTGGTTCGATTATCTACTTTGGAAACTGTAACTACAATAAAGAATTAGAAAAACTTTCATATTAGAAACTAGAATGATACAATTGTTCAATATTTATTGATAGGAATAATCGTTTTATTCATCAATCATTTATAAAATATTCAATATTACCCTGCGTTTGAAGATGCATCAAACAAGACAATATTCAATATTTTGAGAAATATTCGAGATGATAACAATACTAGTCCTTTTCTATGGAATAAAATGATAATTTAAATTGATAAGAAAATGTTTGATTATTTCCAGATTTGTACGAAATTAGGTTGGAAAGGTCAAAAAACTCAATTTGATATACTTCCTTTAGTGTTATCGGCCAACGGTCATGATCCGGACTATTTTGACATTCCAAAGGAACTCGTTTTAGAAGTTCATCTAGTCCATCCAAGGTAAGAAACTATCTTTGTTTAATTGCTTCATAATACTTTACTTATACATAATGTTCATAAAAATAATTTCTAAACACGAGAAAGATGATAAAATACTTATTTTTCATTGGTTAAACTAAAGAAGAATGCATACCTGATTAGAAGTATACTTTGATGGAACTTATGAAAAATATATTTATATTAAATGAGTATATAGGTTATGTACAAGTATGTTCACTCTCTCCCGAGGGCTAAAATAAATTAATATTATTTTTATTTAGTGACTATTTGAGTTATTAAACAATTTATATTGCGGATTTATCGTACATAAATTTAAAAATTGAAGGGACATGTCAGGGAATCGAACCCGTATCCCCTGGGTTCACAAATCGGCATCCTACCATTGGAGCCACCGCCGTACCTATCTTATACAGTTCTTACTGCTTATACTAGCTACACATTTGATGGCATAGGGTCCGAGGCATGAGGTGGGCTGCGAACGTTCTCTATAGTTGTAGCTGAGCGCGCATACTCGCTCTCTCTCGTTCTCTATCTCGCTCTCTCAAACAGGCAAGTTTGAGTCTTGATTTTTTATTATTATTTCTTTTTCGTTTATATTATCATATATAAAATCTATCAAAAGGAAATGATTTTTTAACACACATAAAATAATACGGTATGGCACATGTTCGAGAATGAATTTTTCGTCTCGTGTACCATACCTCGCTTCGTTCGGGCGTAAACGCTACACGAGATAAGAATATACTTTGCCGCACTTGTTTCGTAATGTACTATTTGTACACGGCGTGCGGAAAGTTCGATTTCCCGCACGCTCGTATGTTCCGGAAGTGTAGCATTCCTGCACGGTTATTCGGTGTGCGGGAAAAGCTACGAGAGCGTGCGGGAAATAAAAGTAGGTAGGGATATGCATGCGAAAAGTAAAAATAGGTAGGAGCAAGCGTGTGGAAAGTAAAAGTAGGTACAGGTACACGCAGATCTACTGCATGTACTGACACTTAGTGGTCTGACATAAAAGACGAGACAAGTATGGGTTTCACTAATTTGAGCATTATTAACATGGGAATGGGAAAATCCGTATAGTTTGTCAAAGAGTCATCAGTGCGCATTTCACTTTGTTTTTACCTATTCCATTTTTATTATTATTGTTTTTATCACCTAAGCGTGATCTTTAAGATTATGTTGAGCATTTTCACTAGAAGTTTTCCGTTAGTTACAGTCTAACCTTAAGACAATATACATAGATTTTTTAATAAAATTTGATCAGTGTTTTTACGATTGAAAAAATTAATTCGGAAAGTGATATCCAGCGAATTAAGTGACAGTATGCCGGAAAAGTTATTGGAAACGGCCAAAACTGTGACCCTTAATTTATTACCTTCTCATTCGAACATAAGATACACGAAAAAGTACAACGAATTTATCAAATGGCGCCAATTGAAAAATACAAGATCGTTTCGTGAGGAAGTGTTTTAAGCTTATTTTGCTTAAACTGCTAAAAATGTGGCTGCATCAACATTATGGGCGTGATATTCAACGTTAAAAACAACTGTTCAATCGTTTGATAATATTGATATTAGCAACTATAAAAAGCTAATTGCTTTTTTAAAAAAAATTGAATGGTGCTCATCGATCAAAAAAAGCCAAAGTTTTTACGGCAATGGAAGTTCAACGTTTATTTGATGAAGCTTCAGAACACGATTACTTATCATTGAAGGTGAGTGTAGTATATTTTAATATTATAAAATTATAATACACATCTATACAAATCATTAAAAAATATGATATTTACTATATAAAATTTTACATGTTGCTCTCATCTTTGGAATTGCTGGTGCATGCAGACGCGAAGAGCTAACAACATAAAATTGAAAGAAGTCACGGACCAAGGCACATTTTATTTAATAAATAAAAGTATGCTCGACTTAAAGTATGCTCCAAAACTTCGTAATTGAAAGGCATGCATTTAATTTAATTCCATTCATTAGCTTGTACTTTCTAGTTTATTTTCGTGTATTATTTTATTATTAAAACACTATGATAAAAAAAAATAACACAAAATATTTTTAGAAATAAAAAATTTTTAAACCATTTATGGAAAGTATTTTTATAATCACTAACAAATAACAAAAGAAAAAAATGTGATATTTTTCCAAATTGTCTATGAATAGCATAGTTTGTAATACGCTATGCAGCATAATTTTTAAAAACGCTAGTATTTTCGAATCAGTTTAATTCATTGTCTTAATTCGTCACTCAATGTCGAATAAAATAATTCAAGTAAATTCAAGTTCATAGTGCGCACAAATGTAGTTAAGGAGGTTCCAGCGCCATGGCGGTTCTCAACCGCCTCTCAACTTTGTTTTCGCGCATTAAAAAAATACTCCTGGGATTCAACTCGCTGTTATTTCGGCAATTATTAACCAATCAGTGGTTAGTATTGGACGGACTTTCTCCATGCGCATAATACTGTACCTCTTTTTCAGCCGCCATAAATTGCCAGGCTTAGACGAGGAAGTCGAAGGAAAACGTAAGAAAACGCTGCAATTGAAGAAAGAGAGAGAGAGAGAGAGAGAAAGAGAGAGAGAGAGAGAGAACTAGAAAAAGAGAAAAAGAGAGAGCGCTCAGTGTACACTAAGCGGTTAGGCAGTCGGGCGTCGCGCGACCAATTAGTGTTTCGTCGCACGCCGTCTAAAACTAGGCTAAGTAGGGATAGTCTGCGAGAGCGTGGTCACCACCCGCACAGGAGTATTGTATGGCGTCACTCGACGTTAGCCAGTAATCGAGGGCAGTCGACCGAAGGAATTAGTTTGCGCTGTCGATTATTTTAGCGATTCCTTTTTCCCTTCGAAGAAGAGGTTTGGCTGCCTTTTATCCTGTGCAGCCCCACGCTCTGGCTTTTCATCAAAGCGAGCACCACCTGCACCGCAGCATCAACGATGAGAAGCCAGACAATCGGCCTGCCCTGCAGTTGCCACCTTCGCCTCCCAAGGATCATCGAGGAGAAAATAAAGGTCAGATTATCCCTCTCTGCCGGTTGTTCTCTCTCTCGCAGTGATGTGCGGCCGCGCGAATTATTAGGTAGCTAAGCGACCACTTGCCGGCTACCTTTGTTTAATTTCTCTCCGTTAATTATTTGTATTGCGTATTTGGTTTAGTTGTAAATGCGCAATAGCCAAGCGAGCACTCGCTGGCTACTTTACACGATCCTTTGTGCTATAATAAGTTGCGTTTGTTCTTCGGTTAAGGTATACAGGGTGTCAATTAAGTCCCGGGACGCCTAAATATTTTCTGAAGTACTTCAGTTCTGAAAAAGGTCAAGGTCATTCCTACAGTAACTTTGAACAAGGAATCCGATGGTGACCTTGGATTTGACCTTGAACATCAATTTTGAGGTTATTTTGAGGTCAACCTCATTTTTTTAAATAGGAACACCTATTTTTTATTGCGGAATCGGAAAGAGCGGGAAATTTTACGTCCGGATATGTATTGAGGTTTGAGGTTGAGGTTGAGGTTTAACCCCTAGAGGTCAAATAGACGTCAAATAATGATATTTTAAGAATCTCGCGAGTCCAGGGGTAACAAAAAACAAACAAAGGTCATACCCTAAGTAAGTCTTGACGAGGAACCCAACGGTGACCTTGGATTTGATCTTGAACCTCATTTTCAAGGTCATCTGAAGGTCAACCTCATTTCTTCTAACAAAAAAACTTATTTTTGATACCGGATTCCAAAGAAGCCAAAAATTTAACGTCCAAATATGTATTGAGGTATGAGGTGGAGGTTACTCCTAGAGGTCAAATAGAGGTCAAATAATGAATTCTTAAAAATTTCGCGAGTTCAGAGGTAAAAAAACAAATAAAGGTCATACCATTGGTAAGTCTTAACGAGGAACTCAACGGTGACTTCGAATTTGACCTTGAACCTCATTTTTAAGGTCATTTGAAGGTCAACCTCATTTTTTCTAATGGAAACCCCTGTTTTTGATAGCGGATTCGAAAGGAGCCCAAAGTTTTACGTATCGATGTGTCGAAGAAGGAATCCAATTGTGACCTTCAATTTGACCTTGGACTTGACCTTACAGGTTATTTGATGGTTAACTTTTTTTTTTAATAGGAACCCTTATTTTTGACACCGAAAATCTATAGAGCGGGAAATAATACGCTCAGGTATGTACTTAGGTAGCAGAAAAAGTTTGACATTGGGGTTTACTCCAAGGTCATTTACCCACAACGGTTCAATCTCCACTTGACATTTAAGGTCATTTCAAGGTCAACTAGTTATTTTGATTGGAAATCCCAGTTTTAGTACCAGGAATCGATAGAGGGGGAAATTTTTCATTCAGACAGCATTTTTTAAAATTATGACCTTACTATCGTCCTTATTCTTACTCTTTGCGTTACCCAGAAACAACGACGTGGACGTAGTAAGATCTGTTTCCTTTGGGGTGCTTGATTAGCGTGAGTCCCCTTGCCTCTCACGATGGGGTGGTTGATTAGCGTGAGTCCCCTTGCCTCTCACGATGGGGTGCTTTATTAACGTGAGTCCCCTCGCCTCTCACGATTGGGGTGCTTTATTAACGTGAGTCCCCTTGCCTCTTACGATTGGGGTGCTTGATTTGTGAGTCCCCTTGCCTCTTACTTAAAGGTTCAAAGTTTAATGGAGATGCTCAAACTGAAATCCTTCAACTTCTTGACAAAAAGCTAGACGATTGTAAAAATGAGTAACAGCATCGCGAATCATCGCTCTATCGATTCTTGCAGCCTCTTCCAGAATTCGATTGCGCAGTTCCTCTATGTTGTTTGGTTTAGTGGCATAAACTTTATTCTTAAGGTAACCCCAGAGAAAGTAATCGAGTGGTGTCAGATCCGGAGATCTAGCCGGCCACTCGATTTCACCCCTTCTTCCAATCCATCTTCGAGGAAACTGAGCATCCAAATATGCTCGAACGTTTTGACCAAAATGAGCGGCTGCTCCATCCTGCTGAAACCAAGTTACATCGT